GTTATCTTTGAAGAAATGAAAATTAAAACTACAATGTGACAGCTTTGTGATTACGAAAGGCTAAAATATAAGAGATTGATTGCACAAGATGATGGTGACGACATGGTGAAGTCATTTTTGGAAAACTAGTAATACATACTAAAAATGTGCACACACATTATAACCCAGCAACTTCTATTCCTAGGTATAAACTCCACACAAAAGTGCACATACATTCACTCAGACGTGCACAGGAACATTTGAAGCAGCACTATTCATATCAGCCAAACATTAGAAATAATCTGCATGCACATCAGCATGGATGAAGAAAGTATGGTATAGTCACAGGTGACACACTATATACGAGAATGATAGTACAATGCGCAACAACATGGGTGAATCTCACAAACCTAAGGCTAAGCAAAAGAAAACAGATGATCAAAAAACAAAACAACAAAAGCAAAAAAAACCAAAAACCAAAAAACAAAAAACCACAGTATAAGATTTCATGTATATGTAATCAAAAAAAACAATCAAAACTAATTTGTAATGTTAAAAGTCAGGATGGTGGTTACCCCAGGGGATCTGGGAGCATGTTGGTTAGTGATGGGAAGGGAGTACAAAGGGGGCTTTTGAGATGCTGGCAATGTTCTCTTCCTTGATCTGGGTGCTGATGAACTCAGGTGTATTCATGTTGTAAAAACTTATCACCTTACCCTTGTGCTTTTTTGCATTTTTATATATGTATATTACACTTTGGTAAAAAATTTTCAAAAATGTTTAAATAACCTTCCACTGATTACATATTTCTTAGATGATTCAGAAGGCACCTTAGACCATCCTGGAACATTCTGTCATTATTACGAGCATGGGTTACTAAGGTTATCTAAAAATGTGTGTGCATCAGGGTGGGGGTGATGTGAATCACATTATATGCCTAACTCATTCCAAATGCCAATGTATTTTTTAAATTTTTGTATTAATATTTTAGGGTAACTCACTAACTGAGAATATGGCATACCTTCCTACTTAAGTCTTTTTTGTGTCCCTCAGTAGCATTTATTTTTTTTTCTTTGTTTTTGTCTTGTACGTTTTATTCCTAGGTATTTTTTCTTTTTTTTTTTTTTTTTTTTTTTGAGACAGGGTCTCACTTGTTGCCCAGGCTACAGTGAGTGCCGTGGCGTCAGCTTAGCTCACAGCAACTCAACTCCTGGCTCAAGCGATCCTCCTGCCTCAGCCTCCCAAGTAGCTGGACTACAGGCATGCACCACCATGCCCGGCTAATTTTTGTATATATATTTTTAGTTTGTCAATTATTCTTTCTATTTTAGTAGAGACGGGTCTCTCTCAGGTTGGTTTCGAACTCCAACCTTGAGCAACCGCCCGCCTCGGCCTCCCAGAGTGCTAGGATTACAGGCGTGAGCCACCGCGCCTGGCCTTATTTTTTCTTTTTTAATGCTATTATAAAATTGGGACCTTTTACCTCAAGATTTGCTAAGTGGTTGTAGTTTGCATACATCATGACTTTTGATTTCTAGATAGTAATTGTCTACCCTGCTACTTCCATTTTCCTTTGATTTGTAATAGTTTTACTGCAGATTCTTTTAATTTTTAGATAAAAAATGTTATCTGAAATAATGATTATTTTACATTTTCCTTTCCAAATTATATATATTATATATATATATATATTTTCTTTTACCTGAAGATAATGGCTAATACTTCCAGGACAATATTAAACAATAGTGGTTAAAGGACATTCTTGTCTTGTTCCTTTAATGGGATGTGTTTAAGTGTTTCTTCATTAAGAATAAACTTTGCTTTTAGGTTGACCATATATATGAAAGTACATAAATGCATATTTCTCATTATATTAGTGAAAAATTCATCTACTTTTATTTTATCAAAGTTTTAAAAAATCAAGATGAGTAATGAATTTTATCACATGCTTTCTCAGCAGCTAGTGATGCTCGTATGGTTTTTCTCTTCTTTGATGGTGCATTTATTATTTTTTAACTAATTATTTCAAAATATTAGAATAAAATAGTTTAATGAAGCCCAACATATTCATCACCTAGCTTTAATGATTATAAACTCATGGACAATGTCATTTTATGTAAACCCTACCTACTCTATTCCCCTGGCTCTCAAATTATTTTGAAGCAAATCCCAGTATCATTTCACCTGAAAGATTCCCATACTAAATGATAGATTTTCATTTTGTAAACATAACTACGACACCATTATCACACATAAAAATTAATGATAATAATGATTACTAAACAACAAAGTTAACCATAGTATTCAAAATACAGCATGAACTCACACTGGTCCTTCTAATTCAAAATCAGGGCTATGGAATTTTTACTTAATTTCATTGGTCTTACATCGATGCCTCCTTTCCTCTACATCAAAACCTCAGCTCTTAGTAACATGAATATAATTACTCAGTTTCCTTATCCCAAACTAAGCATGGTAGCCTGAGGATAACATTACTAATAGTACTCCCCCAAACATGATTAGTTTAAAAAGTTTAAAATATTTAGCCATCTTTTTTATAATTAGGGGATATTCCAAAAGGAATAACCATACACATTACTGTGTTTGAAAATCAATTGGAATGATTTATTTCTGGTAGTGATGCTTCTTATTTAAGCAGTTAATACTATGAATTATATTTTCAGATATCCTAATATTAAATTTCTAAAATAGCCCCAAGTGAAGAATCCTATATAGAATTTTTGCAGCAATATTGATATGTGAATTTTTGTCTGTGGGATATTTTGGGGCTGTGTTAGTCGGTTGTGCTATCAGTATTATCATAGTTTCATAAAACGAATTTGAGAATTGGAAGCTCCCTTGCATCTATGTTTAAACAGTATAAATAACATCAGACAAAGATGCAAAGGCAATTCAATGGAGAAAATATAGTCTTTTCAACAAATGGTGCTGAGAAAATCGAATATCAATATGTAAAAAATGAACGTTGATCACATCATTTATAAAAATTAACAGTAATGAAAAATAGAATTAAATGGAAAATCTAAAGCTATAAAACCTCTGGAAAAAATATAGCAGAAAGTCTTAGTGAACGTTTTTAGGGCAAAGATTTCTTAAAGAAAACCATAAAACCATAATCCATAAGGAATAAAAATGATAAATTACATTTCATCAAAATTTCAAAACTTCTGCTCTTCAAAAACACTATTAGAAGAATGAAAAGACAAACCATGGATAAAGAAAATGTACTTGTAAAACATATATGATCAGCAACTTGTATTCACAACATATAAAAAACTTTCATCCTAATAATAAGGCAACAATCCAATGTAAAATGGGGGCAAAGATGAGAACAGTTATTTCACTAATGAATAAGTATAAATGGAAAAAAACACATGAAAAAATAGTAACAATAGTTATTAGGGAGATGCAAATAAAACTACAACAAAATACTATTATACCCTATTAGAATGCCCAAAATGAAAAAATATGTATATCCTACAGTATCAAGTGCTGTGGGAATGTTCAACAACTGGAACTTTCATCCATTGTGGGGGTGGGGAAACAAAATACTTTAGAAAACAGTTTGGCAGTTCCTTAAAAAGTTAAACATACCCTTATATATTAAAGGGTAAAATCCAATGATTTTAATCTTGAAAATAAGCCATGTGGGTGACCTGAGACCAAGCTGGATAATGATGACCTGAAAGCTGTAGTGGAAGTGAATCCATCTCAACCTATAGGTGAATTAGCAGCAAGGTTTGACATTACTATTCCAACAATATTGGGCCATTGGAAACAAATCAGCAAGGTAAAGAAGCTGTATAGATGGGTTCCGCATGAATTAAATGAATGTCAGAAGAAAAACGTCTCAAATTTTGCTATCACAACATAAAGGCCAACTGTTTTTACACTGTATTGTCATATGCAATGAAAAATGGATTTTTTTAACAATTGCAAGCGTTCAGCACAATGGTTGGATAAAGATGAAATACCAAAACACAGTCTAAAATCAAATATTCATCAAAAAAAGTTAATGGTGTCTGTTTGGTGGTCCAAAGCTAGTTTTATCCACTACAGCTTCATGAAACCTGGAAAGTGAATGTCTGCAACCACCTGGACTGAATGATGCTCAATGAAGCAGCTGAGATTGGTCAACAGAGATAGGCCTATCCTCTCTTTCAAGACCACATGTCGCACAAACAATGCTGCTCAAACTGTAGAGCTGGATTTGGAAACTCTTGTTATCCACTGTATTCACCAGACCTTGCACCAACTGACTGCCACTTCTTCCAGGCTTTGGACTACTTCTTGCAAGGAAAAATGCTGAATTCTCAACAAGCTGTGGAAAACGCCTTTCATGATTTGATCACCACTCACTCTCCAGGCTTCTTCCCTGCTGGCACAAAGAAGCTACCGTTAAGATGGCAAAACTGTGTTGATAGTTTAGGTGAATACTTTGATTAATTGTACTGCTTCTTGTTTGAGATATAATAAACTGCACTTTTGATTCAAAATCGGACATTTCATATTTAATGACCCTAATATAATCCAGCAGTCCTACTAGTAGGTGCTTACCTGAAAGAGATAAAAAAGTATGTTCATGCAAAATCTTATGCAGCAGTCCTCGTTTATCTGTGGTTTCACAGTTTCAGTTACCTGGGGTCAATCGTGGTCTGAAATATTGAACGGAACATTCCAGAAATAATTCATAAGTTTTAAATCGCATACCATTCTGAACAGCCTGTTAAAATCCTTCCACATCCTGCTCTGTCTCAGCTGAATGTGGATCATTGCTTTATCCAGCATATCCTGCTGTGGATGCTCTCCACCCACCCATTAGTCATGGACATCTGCTCCTGACATCCAGTCATTGACATTGACATCGTCAGGGCTCAGTGATCTAGGATCGCCCAAAGCAGATGATCCTCCTGACTAATGGTGAGAATGTCAGTAGTAGCCTAACCTTATGTCACAATGCCTACGTCATTCACCTCACTTCCTCTCATCATGCAGGCATTTTATCATCTCACATCATCACAGGAAAAAAGGTAAGTACAGTACAATAAGATATTTTGAGAGAGAGGGTGAGAGAGATCACATTCACATAACTTGTATTATAGTATATTTTTTTACTTGTTATACTTCTATTACAGTGTATTGTTTTAATTGTTCTATTTTATTATCAGTTATTATTGCTAATCTCTTACTGTGCCTAATTTATAAATTAAACTTTATCATAGATATGTATGTATGGGAAAAACATAGTATAAATAGGGTTTGGTGTTATCCGTGGTTTTGTGCATGCACTACGAATCTTGGAACATGTCTCCCATGGATAATGAGGAACTATTGTACACAAACGTTTACATCAGCTTTATTCATAGGTGCCAGAACTCTTTACTGGTCCTTCCTCATGAGTCTTTTTTATCTTCCCATTAGCTATAATGGGTTTTCACCTTAAGGCAGGTAAAAAGGGTTCAGGTAGGACCCCCTGTGCTTCCTGTAGCAGCAGCCACTCATGTCTCCCAGGGCAAGCTCCTGCCTGTCATTCAGGGCTCCTCATCTTTTCTGTGAGACCCAGTGGAGGTCTGTGAAGAATAGCTTGTGAGTGAGTGTGAAGTCCATTTGCAATTATAGCTCTTAGGGATTCTGTACTCTCATACTTGCTCACACTTGACCTTTATCAATTCATTAAAAACTTTGGCTGTATTTTTTTTTTTTTACCTTCTTGTATGGTTCCTCATGTCTCCTCCTCTTACATTCTGCCATAGATGAGCCAGCTCTATGCCTGTCTCTCCTTGGATGATCCCATTTTTATTTGGATTTCCGACTATATTTTGCCCTGAGATCTCAGCTCTCTGAAAATCTTTGAACTAAAATAAGAATTTTCTTACAATAAAAGCTTTTTCTTGCTGTCATATTATTTTACCTTTTCAAGAATATGAAAGTGTAAAAAAAAAACTTTTTAAATCAATGTTCCTTTGTTTAATTTGACTCAAATACTTTATAATCTTTCAGCAGAGTTTTACTCAGAATAACACTTTTAAAAAAATAGATGAACATTTGTGTGTTAATGCTAATCTCAAGAGTGAATGCTTCCAATTTTAGATTCAAAAAAAAAAAGAAAATAATGACGTCTCCCCTCTGGCCACTCCTGGCTCAGGTGCTCCCTTCTGTTCCATGCTGCTTGCTGAGGGCCCTCAGAGTTGCGGCTTCCGCTGAGGCTGGTGCAGTGGGGCTTCCCTGTCCTCCTGCCTCACTGCACTCTGCTGAGCAGAGCTTTCACAACCACGGCCTGGATAGCCCTCCCCCTCTAGGCTTTCTCTTTCTTCCTGAGTTCTAATAATCACATTCAATTTCATTCCTGATTCCTTGTGTCTTCATTTTGTGCTTTTGCTTTGTAGAGAGCCTTGTCTCTTTAAGATTTTTAATTCTTGCTAACATATTAGTCACCATTTTCATCCTACTCTCTAGTAAAGTTTTATTGAATTATTTTTCTTTGCTGTTGCTTTATTCTTCTCTTTTCCCGCCCACACCCTCACCCCCACACCCTGCCACTTGTATCATTTCTACATAGATCCTCTTCAAGATCTCCTTACATCATTACTTGTCTTAAATAGGAAGACTCTTTCATATCAGCAAGGACTTGCTGCACAGAGTGGGCAATCTACCTTGGAGAAAGGGGCCCCGGTGGTTTTTTCTAATGTTTTTTCTACAACCATCAGAATCCTCCCCATGTCATTCTATATTTGCATTTGACTTTGTTAGTACCATTTGATCATGGCTTGGGCATTATTTTCCCATATATCATGATTGGAGAGTTCAGTTGTTCTCTAATCTCATTGAAAATAGATTTTGTGTTCAACTTTTCATTTCCCCATTGCTTCTGGATAATTTCTTATATTTTAAAACTTGAATTTCTCTTTTCTTCCACTTATCCCATTCCAACATCATGTTTTTAATACAGCCTGTTCTATTTAATAATCTGGTACAGTATATAGAATATCTTTTAATATCAAATCACTTTTCTAAAACAAACAACTTTGCACATATGATGGGTTATATGCCTAGAAAGTTGTCACCAATTAGATCATCACAAGGAGCCCCAGAATGTCCTATTGAAACTACTGAATGCTCCAGGATTGTTTGCCTAACCAAGCCTGTGCCTCTTAGCACTGAGCACCATCAGTCTCTAGCACAGCATCAACATAAAGTTATTAATTAATAAGAGTTTAACTGAGTTGCCCATCTCCAAAATCCAACTAAAAGCCAACTGCCTCACCAGCATAGATGGCAAATGCTACGAAATCCCTACCTGTGTTAGTTGCCTGAATTTTTTTCTCTTTTGACTTCTCATGTAAAACCTGTTCCTGAAGCAAAATGTGAGCAGCCTAGGAAAGGTACCCAGAGCTGTTGGATCTTGAGCTCCTCACACCAGGGCTCACACTGGCTTAGTGTGGGGAGGCTTCAGGGTTTCCTTCACTGCCTCTCTGGGTGCTGCCAGCCAGCCCCGGCTCTTGCCGGTCTCAGTGTGGGGCCACCTGTGCTCTCCAGTTGCATCGTCCTGCTTCTCACCTCTTATGTGAAAAAAGTAGAAAATGGCTTTTCTACTTTCCTTGTCAGCATTATCAGGGGATCACTGTTTTTTCCTTTTATCTGCCACTTATAAGTGTTTTAAAAGAGTGAATGTGGTCCTTTTCTATGCCTTCTCAAACCGTGGTCCTGACTTTGACTAATGATGCTTATGACTGATGTTTACTTACCCCAATCACAACTCCATGTCTCCCTGTCATGATCTGTCTCACACTCCCAATCCATGCCATCTTTCCTCTGGAGAGAAACATTTTTCTATAGCTTCACAACTATTACTATACTATTTTTATAGCACCAAAGTCACATTGCTAGTTTATGCATGATATATATGACAAGTTTTACATGTGCAAAACTTGATGTGCTCATAAAATCATCATACTTATAATCTTAAATTTGTTTATTCAGCTAGTGATTCCAAATGTATTTATTAGAATTAGTTTAACTTTTTGTTCGAAATGAAATTATAAGCTCAAATAAACATAGCATCTCTTTCTTTCTTTCCAGTTTGTGTAAAATACTATAGCAAACATAGGAAGCTATTACAGTTTTCAAGACTGTCTCCTCTATGATTTCCAGCAGACCAGACCAAATAAACATCGTTGGAGTTCGTACTTTGGGAGTAGGTTTCTGCAGACCTTCAGGGAATGTTGTCGAAATTCTACGACTACGCAGCAGAGACTCTGAACACAGGAACTTGTGAGACTTCTCCAAAGAAGAGTTCACTTAATATGTCTATAATAAGGGGTGTCCATGCCAGTTGCCCAAAAGAGGTATTTAAGAAAGAATTCAGGGGCTATCTCTTGAGAAAACAGATTATTCTAACAGAGATTTAGAATGTATCCTCCATCATACAATAAAGCCAGTACAGTGTCCAGGCCCCATGAAACGAGAAGACGGTGCCTCAAATCCATGGGGAGGAAGAATGTGGAGAAACCAAAGGAAATTCAAAGTAGTGGTGCCCCTAACTCTGAAAATAAGAGTGTTTTTGACGTCTGCCAGAACCTAGAAAAGGGAAGCCAGCATTTTTCTCACTCTTGTGTGATAAAGTCTATGAAAAGCTGCAACCACTATACACTGTAATATGGGATCATCGTGTTATATCTGGCATTAGCAAAATAACAGAATGTTTGTAATAACACAACTGGGTCATCTTGAGAGGAAGAAAAAATTCTTTTTACATACAACTCTGTTAAGATAAGTCATATCTTTACATATGACTGTCCGGCTCCAGAGGAAAGGATGGTGTTTTTATAATATTTAGATATACTGGTTTGGGGCGGGGGTAGGGTCAAGGGAGGAGAGTAACTGGATTTGGTCATCTTATCAATTAATTAACTGTTGCATTTTGAAATACATGATAAATGAAAATGATTTTAACTAAATTTACATATGCAAAGTTGAAGGAGGAGCTAGATTTGGATAGGCAGATGTTATGGAATGGGAAGGCTGATATTCCCAGCAATAAAGGCAGAAAGGGCAAAAAGACAGAGGTGGGAATGGGTGTGGTTAATGTAGCAACTTATGCAAAGCTATTAGTGTAGAAAGCAGGACTTCACAGAGAAGTCAAATTGAGGTCTGAGGTGGCTGGAACATGGGTTGGGTGCTGGTAAGGGGAATGGAGAGTAAGGGGCACAGTCCGGGGCATTTCAGAAAAGAGATAATGCGATTTTGTGACAAATTGGTTATGGGGCTAAATGAAAAGACTAAAGTGAAAGATGTCTTTGAATTTTCTCAACTGGCAGACCAAAAAAGTTCTGGTGCCCTTGAGTGAACTGGTAAAGTTGGAAGAAAATTCGGTTAGAAAGAAAATGAAGAAAAGGAGTAAGGCTGTGTTTTGGTCCCATTGAATTTGGTGTGACTGTTGAGTATCCAAGTGGAAAGTATTAAGAGACCTTAAAATGAGGTTGTTCTGGGAAGGTGAGAGGTCAGGACAGAAGTTGTCATTCTGAAAGTCATCGACATCAAATCTGTACAAATAAAGGTGGATGAACTCTCAAAGTGAAAATAAGGACATAAGTTCTGACTCTAAGAATTGGAAATTGGTGCTACATGAGTTTTTTATGTAGTTATTTTTGGCAGGCAGGACTACATTTCATTCAATTGATGATAACAGTAAGATGGGGAAAACATATTTTCTGTTTTTCTATAGGTTTTCCATTATTTCTCTAGTCAAATTTATCCATTACCATCAAGAGACTATATTTGTTTTAGTGATGAACTTTCTTCTAGCAAGCATTAAAAAAGAGACCTGTCTGGCTGCAGATTTTTTTAAATGACACAAATACAGCCCATTTTCCCCCTTAATTTTCAATTCTGAGCTTTCTGACGATGAACTGCACTGTGGTAGAAGAGAGGAGGAAGGCAGTGGGTAGAGACAGATCTTTTTATAAAGATCAGCAATTCTCCATGCTTTTATCCCAGGCAAAGATTACATTTAACACCCAGGGGTCTCCACCGCCTCAGATCCTTTTCAGAATGAGTGGCTGTGGCACTGCAGATAGTTTGGGGTGTCCTTTCATATTTTGACAGTATTAAATATACCCCAGTGAGCCATAAATCTGTGATTTATCTAAGAATAAATCATATCTCTAATAAGGGACCACTTCTTTTAAATTGGACAGTGTATTATATTAAACAGACAGACCTTCTAAAATATACAAAATGTGTCAGCCAGCCATTTTAAATGAACATAACTTAAAATTTATCTTTCTTTAGGAGAAAGCCATTTCTCTTCAATAGGGCACAACTGAGAGATTTGCTGAGTTTTGTTGGCTACTGTGTATATTTTATTTACTCTTTCAGCAGTGGGGAGAGGTAAGGTTCTTCTCAGATTTTTCAGTATCCAGGTTGTGTATTAGGAAAGAGAAAGAAAACATAAATAAAAAAGGAGAAAGTCCTCAGGAGCTAAGCTTGGTGGCAGGACAGGGCCCAGGTATAGATGGCTTCTGTCCATGCATGTTAGTATTTCATACTGCAACACGTCCAGCATCATCTCAGTAGCTGGGTCTGCCTCATTTACTCTGGCATCCCTGGTGTTTAGCATAGTATCTGAAACACCTGGTAGGTCCTCAGTAACTATCTGCCAAATAGATATGTTGTGTGCTGAGGTTATACGATTATTTCCTAAGCATTCAGATTCTATCTTTGGCTATTCCAACTTACCAGAGATGTGATCTGTCCCTTCACCACTATGAGGCTAGAAGCAGAACAGGGAAAGAGAAAAGATTTTAAGCATTTACAAAGATACATCCATTATTTCATTCATAGCACAGAATGTTTTATAATAATTTATATCTCTAAGGGAATATATTGCTATATTCTGTTTAGATTTGTTTTAATTTATGGATTAATGGATTTCAGTGGTGGGCAATGAAAAGAAGGGTATGAGAGTGGGCAGAAATTAACCTGATTCCTTTAAAGGGCTGTAATCTGTTTTAGAGAACTGGCTATTCATAAAAATGAATAAATAAATCAACTGTTTACAGGTATAAAATATGAACAAGTGAAGGTAGATATAAACATGATGGGGATATCTGTTTCTGCCAATATAATGAACCAAAATGTCCTGAAAATCCCTCTAGACTTAAAAATGCTAGATAAAATGTTAAAGTCTACCTAAAGTATACCTAAGTTTAATCCATAAGTAAGTTGGCACAAATAGAAGGAAAATACTTAAGGCCAAAATTAATAAAAGCAATATTCCAGAAAGGTAAATGACAAATGAGCCAGTGGCTGCCCTGGGTTCTGCTTATTCCAGACAAATTAGATCTTCAATTTTCAGGGGCTGATTCTGCAAACAGTCACAAAACTTAAGGTCAGTACAAGTTAGGAAATCAGATCAGATATCCCTTCCTAAATCCATAATCCATATTTCCCAAAAAGTGGCACTCAGGGAAAAGATAAATTGGGAGAGGGAGGAGAAAGAATTTTTCCTACAAAGGCAGAAAGAAAGGAAACTTTCCTTTGTACTAAACAAAGAGAAAATAATGTCTTCCTTGAGAATTCATAACCATAAATTGGCCCTCTCACTGGTTTGGGACAAGAATTTACACTATATTTGTGAGCCAAAAAACCCAAAGTAAGCATTTGATTGAAGGTGCTCTCTGGCTGGTAATGCTCTGAGGCACTGTGAAGAAGAATACACCTTAAATCCAAGCCTCAAATAATTCCTCTATATAAAATTGGATAAATGCAAACTTATAATTTAAAAAATCCTCAGGATGAAACAAGATATCATGAGTGAAAGGTTTCTTACTCAATCACAAACAGCAAAATAAGACTACAGAGACTTAAATTTTCTAATCAGAGGCACAAAAATATAAAATAAACATGCATAAATACTTAAAGAAATAAAAGAAGAAATTTAACCTATGATCATCAGAGAAAGGACTAAGAAGAAATAAGGAAGCAGGTTCTTAAAAGAACTAAATAGAACTTCCAAAAATGGAAGAAAATAAAATAACTAGGACTATGTTTAACTAAGAAGGTAAAAGACCTTTCCAGGGAGAATTACAAAGCACTGAGGAAGAAAATAGCAGAGGACATAAACAGATGGAAAACCATATCATGCTCATGGATCAGCAGAATCAATATTGTTAAAATATCTATACTACCCAAAGTGATCTACAGATTCAATCTGTAGATCCCTACTAAATACCTACTGCAATCCCTGCAATCCCTACTAAAATACAAACATCATTTTTCACAGATCTAGAAAAAATAATTCTATGCTGTGTATGGAACCAGAGAAGACCCTACGTAGCAAAAGCAACCTTAAGCAAAAATAACAAATTGGGAGGCATCAATTTACCAGACTTCAAACTATATTACAAGACTATAGTAACCAAAACAGCATGGAATTGGCACAAGAACAGAGACATAGACCAATGGAACAGAACTGGGAACCCAGATATAAAACCATCCTCATATAGCCATCTAATCTTTGATAAAGCAGATAAAAACATATACTGGGGCAAAGAATCCCTATTCAATAAATGGTGCTGGGAAAATTGGATAGCTACATGTAGAAGACTGAAACAGGATCCTCGCCTCTCACCTCTGACAAAAATCAACTCACAATGGATAACAGACTTAAACCTAAGGCATGAAACTATAAGAATTCTAGAAGAAAATGTTGGCAAAACTCTTATAGACATTGGTCTAGGAAAAGAACTTATGAAGAAGACCCCAAAGGTAATCACAGCAACAACCAAAATAAATGAGACCTGATCAAATTAAAAAGCTGCTGCACAGCTAAGGAAACTATCATGAGAGCAAATAGAAAACCTACAGATGGGAGAAAATATTCACATGCTACATATCCAATAAGGGCTGGTAACTAGAATCTATATAGAACTCAGGAAGATCAGCAAGAAAAAAAATGAAAGAACCCCATAAAAAAGTGGGCAAAAGACATGAACAGAAACTTTTCAAAAGAAGACAGACTGATAACCAAAAGAAATGAAAAAATGTTCAACATCTCTAATCATCAGGGAAATGCAAATCAAAACCACAATGAGATATCACTTAACTCCAGTCAGAATGGCTTTTATCATAATGTCCCAAAACAACAAATATTGGTTTGGATGCAGAGAGATAGGAATACTCATACACTGTTGGTGGGACTGCAAACTAGTACAACCTCTGTGGAAAGTAATATGTAGATAGCTCAAAGAGATACAAGTAGAACTATCATTTGATCCAGTAATCCCATTACTTGGTATCTACCCAAAAGAACAAAAGACATTCTCTAAAAAAGACATCTGCACTC